ACTTAAAGATACAGAATATGTTCTGGGGATGGTGAGAAATTAGATCTGGCAGAGAAATAGGTGACTCAGCTGGGAGATTCTCTATTACTGCATATTCTTAAAATCTAAACTTTGAAAATCATCCCTTTATTAAAGTTCAGTGAGGATTATGAAAAAAGTCTGAACCCTTTAAAATAAGAATCTGATAATAATCGGACTAAATCCATATTAACAATCTATGCCTGGTTCTTTATCCATGTATTTCCAGTTCTTGTAAGACATTATTTTATATAGCTCCCACTTGTCTCTATTGAATAAAACTTTTCTAGTTTATTTCTTTAATGTTTTCATCTTAATAATAAGGTTAAGGTTTTTCATCATTATTTTTAAAAGCATAAAAGAAGACCAGAAAATACATTGCTCAATTTTTATTTTTATTTTTTATATTTAAAAATGCCAGAGTTTTTTTGTTGCATAATTTTTCCCATTTATAAAAATAACCTTCCTATCGTTATGAGACTGAAAATATTTACAATAAAGGTACTAATTTTCTGCCAAAAACAGTGCCTGGCTAGCTCAAGGATGGGAAAGTCTAGAGATGCTGGATAATAAAAGTAGTAGTACAGATATGTTGACTTATCAGATGTGACAAATGACTTCATGATTTTAGTTGAAGGATTTGCACATATTAATGGACTTCATGCAGCAAATAAAGGACACTGTTTCATTTGTAATGTTTCTCATTCTGGTGCATGCTTCCTGTCTCTTGATGTACCTGGTACATTTTTTTTTTTTTTAAGTGAGGAAGATTGGCTCTGAGCTAGCATCTGTTGCCAATCTTCCTTGTTTTTTTTGCTGAGGAAGATTGTTGCTGGGCTAACATCTCTGCCAATCTTACTGTATTTTGTATGTGGGATGTTGCCTCAGCATAGCTTGATGAGTGGTATGTAGGTCCCCGGGGCCAGCCGCCAAAGCAGAGCATGCGAACTCAACCACTATGCCACCAGGCTGGCCCATCGACCTGGTACTTTTGAAACGAATACGTAGTATTACAGTATAGCCTTGTTTCAACTCGCTTTTTGGGCTCTTGGCATATAGTATTGTCCAACTTACCCAAAGGAGACTGCCCCAGATCTTCAGTTTACACATAGAATAGGATGTGTTCTGCAAGGAATGTGGCTCAACACTCTAGCTCTAGGGGAGAGGGAGTGAGGGACTCTGTGGCTGTGTGGAGAGCACGTTACACAGAGGTTGCACTATATGCAAACAAACGTACAAGAAAACATTTAAAAGGTAAATTATTTGAATGTTTTAATATCAATTTGTATCTTATAAAAGTTAACACTTGTCTTGTGCTAAGTATATAGCTCTACTAGATTTTTGAACTTTTTAAAACCTTTCATCAGCTGCTGTTCAGTGACTGAGTGATTGAATTTGTACTCCTAGGTTTAAAATCACCCAAAGAATGAAGTTTTGATGCATGCATAACAGTTTTGACATAACTCCACAGGAAAGTGACTGAAGCATCCAAATAAGACGACTTCCTTTACCAATCTACTTGTCTGAGAAAGAGTCATCCAGAAACCAAATCCCAAAAAATTAACATTAAAAAGTCACATTTCAAATTCATGAAACAAAAGTAATGTATAAGAAATTTAAATAATTAAAGTTTCAAATTATTTTTAGAATAATTCTGTAGCATTTATACTTCTGAAGTTATTAAAGTTTAAAATCACACTGACACTCTTTGGGATAAACTGTACAAGAAAGGGAGATCCAAGAAATTGCTTCAGATTTTCTTATTCCTAAAATGTGTTGAGTCCTGGTTAATCATTATGCATGTACAAACTAGTGGCCTAATAGAGATTCATGACTCTGAAAGACAGAACAAGACAGGCAACTGTAATTAATTACGTATTTGCTGTCTCCATTTTGAGGTATTAGACTTGTACTGAATAAATATCGTGAGCTCTCCTTGATGTAGCTTTGGGAAATGGATCTTTCTGATTTCAGACTATTCAAAGAAATTACATTTGGTAGGATAAGATTAATAACTTAAATAGATCCATGGTTGAAATTCACCAATATGATTTGATTTTTAGTACACATTTCTTTTTCTGAATTATCAGCATTTGACCTCTACTGGTAAAAAGGAACCTTATTTTAAAAATTTATTTTGTAATACAAGCCAAGTCATATAATAGAATATATTCTCTCTTGTAATTAAACTACTTTGGATGGTGCCAAACTAACTTGTGCTTTGAGTTTTACTGACTTAACTGACTCTAGTCTAGCTGTTAAAGACCCTAATTTTTATTTGATATTAATTAGATCACAATGTTTGATATTAATAAGATCAGGATTATCTGTGGCTTCCCTAATATTTAGGAGTAACATTCCATCTTTTTCACCTTCTACGGAAGGGGCCACCCTGATTTCACCAATAAAGGTATTAGTATAAATGTTCTACTCCCTTATTGGAGGGGCTACGGAGAGTGGAAAGTAAACACAGTTATTTAACACTTAGGCCTAAAGTGGGCTTCCCTACTTAGAAGAGCCATGGACACACGCAAGCCCTTTTATCCTTTTGAGAAACACATGTGAGGGTAAAGAATAATGAAATGGAATGGAAAAAACTATCCTGTCTTTCGTACGACAAAGTGATTGAAATAATTTTCTTTTTTAGCTTCAAGCTAAAAGCTAAAGCTTTTTTAGCTTTAGCTTTTTTGTTTCTTTTTTAGCTTTAGCTTTGTTTTGTTTTTCTGTTGTTGCTATCATCTGTTAAGATGGTTCCTTTTTTATTATTGTAGTATAAGGTGGTGTTATTTTCTCTGAGGCCACAGAATTTGGAAGGCCACATAAAAGGGTATGTAGGCAAAACAGGTAAATGTGTGGGTTGTTTGAACCATTCAATTTCTCTAAAATATTTTTCCCGCCAGCCTCTTTCAGTACCCCAAATTCTACAAGTCAAAAATAATACCTTTCTATTATGTTAAGCGAAATAAGCCAGATAGAGAAAGACAATCTCTGTATGACTCCACTCATATGTAGAAGATAAAGAAACACATGAACAAAGAGAACAGATTAGGGGTTACCAGGGGAAAGGGGAGTGGGGAGTGGGCACAAAGGTGAAGTGGTGCACCTATAATATGACTGACAAATAATAATGTACAACTGAAATTTCACAAGGTTTAAACTATCATAACCTCAATAAAAAAAAATTTAAAAAGTGCCTTTCAACAAATTGTGCTGATATAATTGGATATCCCCATGCAAAAGAATGAAGTTGGACCCCTACCTCACACAATACACAGAAGTTAATTAAGAATCATCATACACCTAAATGTAAGAGGTAAAACTATAAAACTCATAAAAGAAAACATAGGTGTAAAACTTTGTGACCTTGAGTTAAGCAATTGTTTCTTGATATGACACGAAAAGCACAAGCAAAGTAGTAGATATATTAGATTTCACAAAAATTAAGATCTTTTATGCTCCAAATTATACCATCAAAAAAACTGAAAAGATAATCCACAGAATGGGAAGAAATATTTGCAAATCCTATCTCTGATAGGGACTTGTATCCAGGATATATAAAGAATTCATACAATTCAATAATAAAAAGACAACACAATTTAAAAATGAGCAAAGAATGTGAATAGACATTTCTCCAAGAATATATGTATATACACATGGCCAATAAGCACATGAAAAATGCTCAACATTGTTAGTCATTAGAGAAGTCAAAATCAAAATCACTATAGGACACCACTTCATACCCGCTAGGATGGCTATATCAAATGTGACTCCGGAAGCCCACTGCTAGGTAAATACCTAAGAGAATTGAAAACATGTTCACATAAAAATCTGCACATGAATGTTCATAGCAGCATCATTCATAATAGCTAAAAAGTGGAAACAACCCAGATGTCTAGAAACTGATAATGGATAAACAAAATGTGGTATATCCATGTGATGGAGTAGTATTCAATGACAAAAAGGAATGAAGTACTGATGATACGTGTTTCAACAGGAATGAACCTTAAAAACTTTTATTATGCTAACAAAGAAACCAGACACAAAAGGCCACATATCTTATGATTCCATTTATATGAAATGTCCAGACTAGGCAAATCTATAGAGACAGAAATTAGATTACTGGTTGTCTGAAGTGGGTGGGGAGTGACCCCTAAGTGGTGTAAGATTTCTTCTTGTGGTGATAATAATGTTCTGGCGTTAAATACTGGTGGTGATTGCACAATCTTGTTTGTATACTAAAAACCATTGAATTGTACACTTCAAATAGGTAAATTGTATGGTATGTGAGTTAATATGTCAATGAGATGTTTAAAATAATAATTCCTTTAAGTTAGGGTACTTTTTCCTGTTTAAAAAATATGGGGAGCAGGGAACATTGCAGATTTTAAGAAATCTCATTTTACCCATGTTATGTTGGATGAGGTATTTGAATTTTATCAATGCAAATGTAGGTAAAGATATAGGGACCTTTCTGATTTTTAGCAAGTCACAAAGGGAAAACATTTTCTACATATACTTGATCAGAGAGTGGTAGGGGAGGCTACTTCAATTAGTCGGTTGGACAAATATTTATAAATACCGATATTTGTGTCAAACACTGTGCTAGATACTAGGGGAAGTACTTTTACCTTAGAAGAAAGAAAGCCAGTTCCAGTAACAAACTGGAAAGGTTATTTGATTTTGCCTCAAGGTGGGAGGGCAGAAGTAAATGTCCAAGTGTGGCTTTTGCTCTATCAGAAACTGACAGTCACATGGATTGAGATGGGAATGAAGTCATGTAAGTAGTAAAGGGAAAGTATTTCTTCAAGTAATTTACATGGAAAGAATAGTTAGGTGATGAGTAAAAGAATTACAACATCTGGCATCCTAATGAGTCCATAATACAGGTGTTGGGAAACTTAAATAGGAGCTTGACAGGGAAGTAAAGGCTTATATTCGATAAGAGAGCTTCAATGATTTTCTTCTCTTTTTCAATTCTATAGCAGACATCAACTTGGATATATCAAAGCCTTTGAAAGCAAACCTGAGTTTTACTAAGCTGGATCAGATAAACCATTTTTTAAAAAAGATAAAAAGTGTACACAACAAAGAGACTTCGGCCCTGTCATACACCATGCTGAATAAGGATGAGTTACCAGCCTCCAAATGTTACCGTGGAAAGTTGTCTAAACCTAAAGTTCATGGTGATGGAGCACAAAAGATTCCATTTCAAGAAAACGTGTGGAGAACTGTTTCCTGCTTTCAAAAAATTTCTGTCCATACTACTCAGATTGTGGTCTCCATGGAAACTGTCCCTCATCCTAATAAACCATGCCTGTTAGCATCTTTATCAACCCTCCATGGAAGCCTTAACGTCAAAGCAGCACAGAAAGTACCTGGTAAGTCACAGAAAAGGGGAGAGGGAGATGACGATATGACTTGTTAACAACTGGAAATGTGTAATTTTGAAGATTTATATTATGTAGAGGTTAAAAGTTTTAAGGGCCATTAGAGATGAGGACATTTCTGGTTTGTGACTTTAAGAGATCATTTTATAACAGTCCTTTGAGCCTATTTTAATGCCTGAAAGTAAACTGTTCTATCTACCTCTTCAAATGTCTTCCTACAAATGTCTGTAGAACTGTTCATTCCTAAATTTCTTTTCACCTAAAATTGCTGTACTGAAACAATGGAGTATCAAGTTTTGTGAACCTTTAGAGCAATGGTTCTCAAAGTGTGGTCTCAGAACCAACAACATCAGCATCACCTGGGAACTTGTTAGAAATGCAAATTCTCAGACCCTACGCTGACCTACTGAATCAGAAACTCTGGGCATGGAGCCCAGAAATCTGTGTCCAACAAGCCCTACAGGTGATTCCGATGCACTAAATTAAGTCACTGGTTACTAATTATTTTAAAAAGAAAAATTGCTCTGGTGGCAGGCATGCTGCACAAAGTGTAATAAAAGCCAAGGTTCAGCTTTTCTAGGACAATGCCATTGAGGATTATCAGGCAGCAAGAGCTGGCAAGAAAAGGCTGTGCTTCTGTGCCAGCCTAGCAAGGAGAGGTGTGGACCCTCCAAACTGAATGTTGTTGATTGGTGGAGAGGTGAGAAATTAACAGGCAGTGACATCTTCATTTTCCTCTTTGTTACCATAGCTAAATTGTTACGTGCTTTTTCACACTGAATCGAAAAGGGTAGGCAGAAGGAATATGAGAAGGAGAAGAGAAAAGACAAGGTTCAGGAGGGAAATAACAATTTTCAATCACAGAAACTGCTACTGTAAAAGTTCAGGGCACAATGCCAGAAATTTTACTTTGAAAGTAAAAGCAAAAGGGAAAATTTTTTTCCACTTTAATTTGCAGGAAAGAATTGGGGCTAGAGGTGGGTAGTACAGGGGATAAAGTAAATCCTGAAACTATTGCAACTTAGTTGCTTACTAAAAAGTAATTAAGTGGCAGCTGGAGACTGTAGCTTTGTTCCAAGTAGCCAGCTTGGTCACAGTAGTTTAAGAGAGAAAGAAAAAGTTTATAGTCAAGAAGTATGAATTTTAGGCCAAAAAATAGACTATTTCTTTCTCACTAGAAATATTTGTGACCAAGCCAGCTAAAAGCACTGTATTTTTTTTTATTGTCTTAAAAGTTAGAAATGAAAAATGTAAGGTCCGTGGGACATGAAAGCCTGTAAAACACTGGAGGCTACAATGTCTGATTTATCCACAAATAAATTGCTACCCAGACAACACTGGGCCGGTTCCCATGCCTTTCTAGTTGTATCTTAATCATAGCAGGAAAAGGTTAAACAGAATGAAAGGATTTAAGTGTACTGTACTCAATTCTAGGCCCTTTTCTTTTTTCATCCTCATTTCTTGTTTTATTCATTTACCACTCATATTTTATCCACTTTTAATGGTGTCTGTCCTCATTAAACATCTCTAAAATATAATTAAAATCCTCTCACTGAGCTATACATGGTAGTAGACTTATTCTGTTTTTGTAACTTTTTTTTCTGTTCGTGCTAGAAAAACTTCTTGGTCTTAGTCCTTTTACAATTATGCTCTTAAATCTAGTTAAACACAGAAATAGAAACTATAGCTTTGACTAAGATATACTTTATACAACTCAAATGCGTAGGGTCCAGCAAACATTCTAAAATGGTTGTGTCAACAAATCAAGTTGAAATTAGCCATTTAATAGGAACAATTTTATTATGAGAGCATGGTGAACACCAAATCTGTTTTCTCTACATTTCTACATTGCTCAGTTTAAGAAGATAAAGTCAGCAAAATAATAATAAAAAATTATAATTAAGTGAAATAAGATTGTGTTAAGTTCTAGTTATTGCTGAAGGCTGATTTCTAAGAAATTGTAATTGAGAGATTACTACATAATTTTCAAAAATAAATTTTAACTAAGCAAAACTTTGTAAAAGTAAAATATAATTTAAGCTTTGAGCATTAATTTCATTGTACAGTTGAATCTTAAAAATGTATGCTTTGCAACTTAGATGAAGTATATGCAAATGTATGTTCAAGGTGTGTTTTTGGTAACTGGTAAAAAGTATTTCCACCCCCTGCAAAGAAACCTCCTACCAGTAGTCATATTTCTTTTTGTGTCTTTCAAGTGGCAACATTCTGGATTCAACCAAAAATTTTATAGTATATCTTTGAGCTCAACGGACCTAATGTCAGATTTTTACCGTTTGAATCTAATACAGAAATACTTAACTGTGTCTTTGATTTTACAGTTTATATAACTATTGTGACCATCTGCAGCAGCTGCACTTTTCAGATTATTTGCTGAACCAAATTGAGCACAGTGACAAAAGTAGTCATCTCAGATGTACTATTAAACAGAGAAAGAAAAAGGAGCATTGCCTTGGTACAGTATAGCCATCTGCTGTACAGATGTTGTTGTATAGAATGACTCAAGATAAAATAATTGTAGAAAATTTTCATTAAAACCTCAACAATTTGCACTTGTTTATGCGAATCTGCATAACTCCCCAATGAGACAACACACTTGGGGTTTCTTTGGTTCTCACTTACTTTCTCTTTGATCCTTTTTGATGTGCTGACTTTAATAAACACAGTCCAAAACACTGTGCAAAAACATCATGGAAAAAACTACAAAGGCACAATTATAGCAGCAGAAACTACTCTAATCCCTAACTTACGCAAGCTATTTTTAGTGAAATATTTTTTTTAACACTCTTTATGTGACAATGTTATATAAACAGGGTAAAATGGCCCTTTCCAGATGAGTTTTAATTTAGGAGCTGAAATAGATTTGTAATGCTAGAAGAATCTATGTTCTAAGTAATATTTAGAGAAACACAATTGGGAATGTGTTGTAGGCATGTTTCCTCAGTTCCGAAAGGTACAAAAAATATTTGAGTTCGCCTAATGAGTATATTTTTTATTATCTAAACTGTCATTAGCTTACGAGAAGTGTATGGGAAAAGGGAATAATAAAAGAGTAAAAGGAGAAAGTTAATTTTCTTCCTAAGACATTGTCAATACATTTAAATCTGAAATGCTTTCATATTTATTTACTGGTTTTTACAGCTAAATATAAACAGATTATTGCGGAAATGTTTTCATCATTTGAAACAAAATGGTTAAATATTTTTTACTTAAAGAAAGAGTCTACAAGTTCTTCTTAGCTTCCTGTACTATTCTGCGACCCTAAACTATGAGAGTTTCAAGGGACGTGGTTTTTTATTTAATTCCACTCTGCAGATGCTAGTATAACAGTGACTTATAATAACCCAACTTGTATTTCTGCTAGAATACTTACGTTCTCCCATATGTCTTTGGTAAAATGGTTCTAAAGTTCTGATTTTAGTAGACAGCAATGCTTATATTTTTAAAGTTGGCATAATATTGCAAGAAACCTTATGATTGTGCTTTTAATAACAAAATTAATCTCATTTAGAAATTATATCTTATTTTCTGAAACATTTTAAGGCAGATAATATTTCTTTTGCTATCCATTAAATCCGTCCCTTTCTGTAGTATGTTCTTTTTAAAAATAACCCCTTCACCCCCACATACACATGCAACACAATCTTTTTTGCTGTTTGAAGTATGTCGTTGGAGAAACCATAAGTGTGTAGCTATAAATTCTGAACTAGCAGTGTAGCACTTTCCACAGGCAGGGTGGGGAGTGAGCTGCAGACTTTAGCTCCCCTTGTCAGAGTAAATTATGGCTCTATCAGGGCGGCACTCCTTAGATTTCGGCAAACAAGGGTACACAATTTAGGCTGTGAAATAGGTGTACTTTAGGCTGCTGTGCTGTTTCTCAGGGGCACTTAGATTAGCACCTCTATGTGGAAAAGGAAAAGGGAAATGGGATATGAGCAAGTTAGGTGTCACAGAGGGTTGGAGGAAGAGCCTAAGTGAGGCCATCTTGACTGGCATGTTAATCAGAATTGGGAAAAAGTTGCAAGGATTCCCTTTTTATAGGGACTTAGGGGACTTTTCATCCATGCAGAAAACAATAAGTTGAACTCCTTCTAGTCAGAGAGCTGTGGTTTAAATAACTTTCACTACCCAAGCCTCTGTGATCCAGATGTACTTATCTTTGTGTATAAACAAAAGTAGAGAGCAAGAAGGCATAACCACATTATTTTTCACATATACAAATGCCTCTTCTCATGTACACCAAATTCAGGACCAATAAAATGTAAAGAACCTAAAGTTCCTTTTCATGTACTGGAAAGTGAAACCAGGTCGTTAATTGATACAAAGTGGAGCTCCAGCTTTTCATTCCATAGTTAACTGGATCTCCTGAGAAAAATTTCTTAAGGCGTTGTCATAGCTGTTGGATGCTGCAGAAATGCAAGTAAGCCTAAGGGGAAATAAAACATTAAATTAGATATGACTACCTAAAATAATATGTTGCAATAACAAGCCATTTACAACACCCCAAAGACTTCTGTTACTTTTAGAAGAAATAGGGTCTCTTTCCAATGCCTGAACAATAGGAAATGAATTCTTTGACAGTTAAAGCCAGAGGACAAACTTTAACTTTTAAGCAGCCACTGAGGATTGAAGTGGAAGTACAGCTTGTAGACAGCTATACAAATCACTAACAAACCTTAATGAATATTGGGTGTGGGCCTTAGGGTCTTGTCATTTTTGACACTGTGTCCCAAGTAGCTTAAACCCAACACTCAAGGAAAGGTGGAGACCTCATTGGGTGTGTAACATCTGGGATTTTATTTGTCATTTTGGCATACCCTGCAAGCGCAAAAGAAAGAGTAAAAGGCGATTATCTTGACAATGAAATGAGTTACTGAATCTTGTGATAATGAAAAGCAGAGGAATTCTAATGCCTTTCTGTAGTCCCAGAGGTAGAGGTGGGTTTATAGTTTTGCAGAAGTAAAATGTAGGCA